AACCTATTTAAATAAAAAGTATTTCTCCCAAATATCAGTCAGTACTTTGAATAGAATCTATGCCAAAGAATTGATTGATAAGAGAGAGCAAAAAAGACCTCCCACAGGCGGCCATTCAGCATTCCATGCATAGCAAACATAACACATGCGCGGGAGTGTTATGCTAACAGTAGCACCTATGTAGCACTCAGGAAATGGTGGCGCTGTAATGGAGCTTAGTTAGTATATCACAATATTTTACATTAAATGCTTCATGTATTTCATTATATATATATGACGTATTCAATGTACTTGGTGGGATTTAACTAACATTGTAAAACCCATTACAGGTTCACTTTAAGACTCAAAGGTTAAAAAGATGACAGTTGAGAGATAAAATAACAAATACTTTTAAAAATACATGTAATATTTTTTCTATGTATCAGCATAAAGTGTGCAGGCAGCTCCAGTTTTCAACCTATAACTTAAAGGTGAATTGCTTTAATTTGATAAGACTGTGATCAGAGACTGGACTTAGTCCAATATACCAAATTGTTTGTATTTTTCGTTAAAGTTTTCTACATAATTTGCAAGGGCAACTTAGAAATTGTATGGCTTGTAAGAACAGCTTAAAAATTCCCTCAGTGCTGTGCCATACATAAACTATTTTACTCCGATCTTTTCCTTTACGGCGCCATAATTTGAAAGCTTAATTAATCAGGCCCTTTAAATGGACATCCTTCATAAGTAAGAGGGCTTTCAGGAATTGCTGAGAACGTTACTGTACACAAATGGTTGTGCTCCTGAATCAATTACAGGTTTGTTATGAATAAGAAGATCAGTCAAAACACATTCATCAGATGATTCTGAACCCAAAGTCTACACTTTTAAAACCTTACGGAACCATGAACCCCTTGTAAAGAAGTTTGGCATTTCTTAAAAACAAATAAATATACTTTGGCTGGAGTTAATAATCACTAAAACAAGTACAGACCGAGAGGAGACAGTGAGTGCTAGACTCAAGGTAATGTATTTATACATATATATAATATACACACAATTCATTCAGCTATATATTTATATCATATTTAATTTTTGTTAGTCATCTATAAGGGGATATATTGACTGAGTTTCTTATAAAATGGGTAAATAAGTCAGACGTTACAAATATAGCTTGTCTGCTGATGTTGCCAAACTTTAGTCATAAACAGCATTTTATTTTAACGCAATACTTTGATCACCATAACCACTACAGCTCACTGTGTTTCTTGCTCCAGAGTTCTATCACATTCTGAAACATCAGTTTACGTATCCCTATTATCTGTATGCAGACCTGGACTGTCCTTAACAAAGAACCCATATTTCTTACTTTGTCCTACTGCCATTAGCCTTACATTTTTTTTACCTGTGTCACAAGCAGTTGCAGGATTACACATTTAATATAATATAATAATGTAATCCATGACACATATTTTTTGTCCCTGTGAAGTCACCATGTGTGTAGTAGATTGAAATATTACACTGATTCACAGGTTGTCTTCTAGAATTTGGAAAATAAAAGCTGGGGGAGATGTAGATTGTGTCATAATGTTATCAAATGTGGTAAATTATAATTTAATACACCAAACCACAGATTGCAATGTGGAACGAGTTTTTAAGGTCAAATGTAACTTCAACCCTCAAAGCACATTTTTTTCAGTAGGTATTCTGGTGTAAAGGAATCTTTTAAAGACTCAGGAAAGGGTGCATTACCCCAATCATTGAGGTGGAAAAACACAAACAGTGAATTAAGTCCATTACGGCAATCAGGATTCAATAACTATGTGCCAGCCAGCACTAACCACAGAAGTTCACTTAGGCCATTTCACTCATCACCTCCCAGATCTTCTACATGTATTGTATTCATTCATTCATTGGAGAAAAAGAAAAAGTCAACACTGTAATCCAAACAGCAAACATTCCACATCCTTCGTAAATCCAAAAACAAGCCCATCACTTGAGAACAAAGAACATTTTCTTCCTTTTGTACAGAGATCCAAAAAAAAAAAAAAAAAGGAAGGAAATATTACAGCCAAAGGTGCAAAATAAATGTCACTTTTCATGATGCACGTATGTGGTTTTAATATGCGTGTAGTCTACTGAAAGATGGAAGAAGTGAAGAACACAGTTGCAATAGACCTATTAAACCAGCAGATGTCATTGCACCATGCTTCTACTTGATCCTGAGGATGCTATGTTATAGATCAGTGGTTCCCAACCCAGTCCTCAAGTACCCCGTAAC